CAATTAAACGAGTTAAAATGAAAAACATGATAATTATTGTGACTCCAAACTCATGGCGATAGCAGCTGAAGTTGTTTTTGTTCGTCTTCCAATTCACTTTCTAAACTTGCAGCGATCGCTCTCGCTATACAGCTCTCTTCGTCTCCTTCTCCGGTGAAAGAATCCCCTTTTACTGCTTCCGTTGAGCTTCGGTCACCATATTCAACAATAGCATGAGGTTTCTCTGTTTGTTCAACTCTCATGGTCGATAATACTTGGTCAGATTTACATGCAGGTAATTCTCCGTTAATAATAAAAATAGAGTATCCTTCTTCTTGCAATTGTGCCAAAAAGAGGGCCAAGTAAGTGTCCGATATCAATTCAGGTCCACTTAGCAATGAGTTTAGATTGAACCATTGGTTACCAATCTTTCTTATTGTCAGCCAATGGTCTCTATAATTGCAAATATAGCATTTTTGGGACCTGAAAGGGTAAGTAAATTCAAATTAAAATATTGGACATGGTTATTAGATGTTTATGTTGTGCTCACGTAGGATCTTTACGAGCGATTTCTGCTATAGCATTTTGACTTTTAAAAGGTATCAGCTCTAGACTCCACACTTTAAGAGCATTTGCAATAACTTGAATAGAAAAATATCCACTATCATCCATGTTAAAAGAAGGACCCTGTAAAAGAAGAGATGAGCATAAAATAAGTGACAGTTAATAAAAATTGCGCTGAATTTGACCAAAATCATCAAGCGCTTGAAACGGAATTATATGTTAAAGATTTACTTTTAGAGTGACAGTTCATAAAAATAAAAATATTGAAATAACTTGTAATCTAGACGGTTTCTTATAAAGCAGACTTCAAGACTCGAGATACATAGAGAACGAATTGATGCTTGGCAGAACGGCAATGTAACTTTAAAGTCACAGATTAAATAAACTAAAATGAAACATGCATAATTTATTTACCTCAATGAATTCCCGATACTCTGCTCTGTTTTCCCCACCTTCTGCCATTTTCAATCTCTCCTCATCATCGATGGTCTTCGCAATGGTGGCCAAATCAAATTCTGTAAAATAAGGTCCTTGGAGTAAAGCATTAAGACAATGTTTTGCACACAATTGGCCTTCTTGCTGTACAACGAGGAATAAA